CGAGCAACGTTTTCATGAAACGAGAGTACGAGCGGTTCATAGTCCTTACCCCGGCGACCTCCAGTAAAAAGATGGATATGTAGAACGAAATGACGTTATTACACATCAGAAATGGAATCCCACCAATAGCATAGCATAGCTTTGAGCGTCTGCTCAGTCTCTCAGTAGTGGTAGTCGTAGTCACAACAGTCTCAATAAGAGGTTCTGTCTGTTGATATGAATAAGGTACAGAACACGTGTATTTAAATTACAAACGTATCAATGTATTTAATTTACTAAAACTGTTTATACACCAGTTTTAATTTGAGCGTTCGTTTTTCGTTGAATAATCTTGAGCATCAAATTGTTAATAAAGAAATAAGAGTCTGTTGTCTTTGAAGTGCATTTGACTGTTCTATTAGCAAAGATTTAATGACAAGTGGTGATTCAGAATTAGAAACACTTATGAAAAATATGATACTGTATCGACAAGACACCAAAGCACTTTTTACAGTGTGTATCACAACTAACTAATTAACCAGCTGACTGTTGTTGTGTGTGTTTTCTATTGTCTAATGCTGAACTTGTATGTTTACGTCTACACACAGAATTGGGTTAGCATCTCCGTTGTGTTTATGTTACTGTAATCTACTCGGTCCGTTAGTTTAGTTAACCTTGAGTTTATCATATGGTCATGTATAAACACATTAGTTTTTAAAACGTGAGTTCAAGGTAAAAAATGTATTAATATAATTCATAAAATGATGTTATATCAAAGTTAGAAGACAACAAATAATAACTCATTGAGCCCGAATTTGATGACTCAAACAATAATATTATAATGCATTTGTTTATATATATATATATATATATGTTAGAATTAATTTCAAACCAAATCGAAGTCAGGAATCACAATCCTGTCGTGCAAGTGAAATATCAGGAACATAAGTGGAATAAACGACGGAAAACATTGCGAAAAATTGACAAGTCAGTCAGCGTATCAGTAAATGATTATGGCTGGTTGGGAGATTGAATTCTGAAGTAATGCGAAATATGAAAAATATTTTAATCTAATCCATGCAATAACTTCTACTCCAAACACAAGTGACGCCATATTATTAAATATCTGTTCTCGTGCAGGCATGCAAGATTCCAATCCGACATGACCCTGCCATCTGATAACCAGCCAGTCGTCATTTGATTAAACAGGTACAGACGTCCGCACCGCAACATTATTTAATTGTGTAAGTAACGTAATTAATTAGTAATGAGCAGTCTATCCAACCAATCAATCAATGAGTTTGATGACAGCCCGCATGTTGGCTTAACGAGATATTACCGATGGCAATATTGGGTTGAAAACAAGACATTCTCGCCACTTGTTGGAGTGATTCGTTTAATCTTGATCATACCCACCTTAACCGCAATGTCATTGCGTTTATCCTCACAGGCATTGAAGAACTCATCATCAGAATACACCGTCGTCATTTTGGCGAGCTGCGCATTGCCCTCTCACCTAAATACAAATATCAGATTTGACCGTTTTTCATCAGATATGGTTGTACCATTGTTATCTGTAGGGTGAGTAGGTTGATTATATTTACTTTGATATTATTTTGACCTTGAAATGGAATGTCGGATGAACGCTTATGCGGTATATCCTAAACCATGTCAGCTTTGAAGTAAATCAAACTCACTGATGGGTTTCCAAGTTGAGCGATGTCCCGGATGCGATGGAATAGATTATAAATAATATTGGTAAAATACAACAAAAGAAACCTGACTATCAATTAAAAAGAATTCTGTGAATTTAAGAGGAGTGTCAAATGATAAATTAAACCTAGCCTTCGTCTCAAAATCCCCAAATCGTTTGAACTGCTAGAAACGTATTACAGTTGTGTTTAATTTAACTAACGCGGCATGTCTGCCCATGCTGTGGTGATAAGAACATGTTTACTGACTTTTTAACGATAATAAGCGTTTTGTCATGAGCAACGTGGTTTATAGGTATGTTGTTCTGGCGCGGCTCGTTGGGGTGAAGGAGAAGACTAGTGATTGATTACACAACCGTTTACAATATGTCAATCATCGGAGTGACCGACTGTGTTCATTGAGAAGAACGTGCACACGAAGAGCTTTTTCGGGAAGATTATTAACGAGTAATGTTTAGCCCTAACATTTTCACTAATTGCATATCTAAGCTGTGCTGGCGTACAAGCTTTGCTATACTGAGATGTGCCAGTAAAGGGCACGTCACATCACTAAATATCGATCGTTGAAGATAAGAATGATAGGAAAGATACTTGCGTAGACAGGCATGTTTGCATTGAATTTGGGGTTGCATTTACGGTTATCAATACACAACACACACTACATCAATGATGTTTAATATATTCAGCAGGTTACATACAAATGCAATGTAAAATTTCAGATTTCTATTTATGCCTGGACTATAACCTTACTAATAAGTATAAATGAATAGAAGATTTATTTATTTTCAAAATACCAATAAATTATCAATCTTATTTTAGTCTCTATGATCACGTGATATTACGAGTATTGAATATTGATTTTGAATATTGTTATAATAAAATCGTATATAATACACTTCATGTGTGAAATAGTGTCCACTTGAAATCCAATATATATTTACACAGTAACTCGGAATGTAAGTCTATAAAATTCACTTGGTTTAATTCCTCAGTACACTTCATTCTTGGTCTCGTACTTCACAGACTGGATAATACCTCTACAGATCCATTTGAGTAGTAACTTTGCCGGAATAAATAAAATGAGTATTCATTGTCATCCCCCACTGACAATTTCTCCTCATCAAGCATAGGTGTTTGAGATTGAGTCGACCTGTTTCTTTCCCTAAAATTAAACCAAGAATTGTAAATTCAAAAAGGAAAGTTTCAACCAAAGTGTGATGAAAATGTTTTGAGTCACAATATACATCTGTAATCTGTTTTGCAATTGTTTGAAAACTGGTCACCTGGAATGTTAGCGTTCCAGATTGCTGGAAAAATAAACCATGTTGATTGAATTACGGAGTATGTTTTGTTTCATTACGTCAACAAGTTGTAGCCTCGTTCGCAGATCCACCAGCGAGCATAATTTTACTGAGGTCAGCCAAGCTGATTATTTGAATGACTACTATTATGGCGAAATAAACTAATAATAGTTTGGATTTGATGACGTAATTAGACAATATACCACCAAATAAATAATATATCCTCACAGTTAAAAGTCGACTCACCTAATTTTTTGTAGCTGGGATCTGGTTTCTGCTCTCGATTTTTCGGTTATTGGGTAGCGCCATAAACAAAATAGACCCAATACCAGAAATACTGTTGGCGGTGCTGATACAAGTACTCTTAATGTCACACCTACTGCACGCGGCTGTACACAAGCACCGGCTTCATATCCAGTGAACCTGAAACAAATATAGAGTATGTCTAATGACTGACATTTTGGTATCAGATTTATTACACGAGTATAGTAATAGTAATTTTTACCATTATCACAAGTCTAAAAAGTAGAATGAAATGGGTGAAACCTACTCTAAGGCGAGCGTTGACATACCACGAACCTGTCCAATGACAAACGTCGTAAAAAAGTAAAATTAAATGGGTAAAACCTACTCCAAGGCGAGCGTTGACATGCCTAGAGCCATTCCTACGGCAAACTTAGTGAAGAACACATAAAAGGAATAAAATAGTCCTTCCTTTCGCATCCCTGTTTTTATGGTGAAATCATCTATGACGTCAGGAATCATTGACCTAAAATGAGAACATTATTTTGTTTTATTAATTGAAATAAGATCAATTGATTGATTGGTTTATTTGTTTGTTTGTTTGTAAAATGTATTAAACAAAACAAGCTATAGCCTTGAAATAACAACTTAACATAATGACAACGTGAAGAAAATAGGAAAATTAAACAAAAAACAGTAGGATTCTAAGGTTGCTTATACTCCAAGTATACTAAACGGTACCAAACGCCTTCTTTAGATCTAAGAACACAACACCTGCGAAGCGTTCATTGTTCATACACATACTCAGTCACATCCCATAATGCATTGCTCGTAGAATGATAACTAGAATGATATGCATATAGCTGCTTGTAAATAAACTTGATTGATTGAATTATTGATTGATTGATTGATTGATTGATTGATTGATTGATTGATTGAATTATTGATTGATAACTTACCAAGGAAGTAAGATCATGACGGCTGCACCGAGACCAAATAAAACACAGACTGGAAATATTACAAACGGTGTTCCGGGTAACAGCGAAAATGATGCATATAAGGGAATTTGTGTCTTGGAATGAAAAAACATTAGAGATTAAAGCACCATAGAAGCAAAACAATTTTACAGCACTTCGGCTCAAAACAAAAGAACCCGAATTTAAACCGCCTCTGAATTTAGAAATGTTGCCTATGTTGAGTATGGCATACTTACACCGAGAGTAATTGCTAATGTCGTTTTCTTTCCGAATCGGGTGGAAACCATTTGCCAGACCGGGATACTAAAGCATGCTGCTCCCTGAAAACAAATAACGCGCATTAAAATTGAAACCGATGAAACTTTTACATCTATGTTTAGAACTTGTTTCCTTATGATAGAAAGCGTCATTGTATCGAATACTGTATATAAAACATCGACAATAATGTTACATACTACGTGTCATAAGTAAATGCAGATTTAACGTCATAAAAATATTGAATTCATCGGAGTGTAAACAAATCAATAAATAGAAAACTGATTGAACAATATCCCACCACTGTGCTGCCATACATTACACGTTCAGCGATGAACATTAGATAAGTAAGATAAATCACCGTACTCACTAGGATAACTATAAACGCAAACTGAAAGTTTTTCATCTTGAGTGAATATATAAAATATAACGCCAAATTTCCTTGTATTGTCTTAATATGAAAATAAACAAAAAGCATTAATAATAATATAATAATAATATAGTTTTAATACACCTTAATGAAATTACAAAAGTTTAGAATGGTTAGTATTAATAAGGATAATGAACTTGTTGCTATTTTTTTCAGGCTGGGAATTTCCTTAGTTAGTAAATTCAGCGTACATAATATATCTTTAATATGTCTAGTTGATTTGTCCAGGGCTCGTATATGCTATATAAATATAATAAACATACGTCTCGATTAGAAAGAAAGACGAAATGCTGGATTGCTCACCTGTAACGCCAACAATGCACACATGAAACACATCAACAATTTAACATACGGTCCATGGGAAAGGACGGTCTTCAGATCCTTAAAGAAATTATGTTCACCCGGAATATTTTTCACTGCATCATCTGAAAGATTTAACAATTAACAAATATAAAGTGAATATTACGTTACAATTTGGTTAACGAAAAGATCGAACGTTAAAGGGCGGTAGTCGTCGCGTCGCGTCCTTGGCTTCATGCGTTTTACCTTTAACACGATCTTTGACTATTTAGTATGTCGCGAATACTTTGAGGTTATTACGAAAATAACGTATACACGAAGGCGGTACGGTGGTCGTATCGACTGACGCGCAGCGGAGTGCCTTCTTTGCGGTATTCTCGTGATATCCTTATAGTATTATTATTATTATTATTATCATTATTATACATCTTTTCCCTGCTTGTAGTAATAAGCTAATGAGAGATAACCTGAAATGGCAACGCAAAACGTTTCACGCGTTCAATGACAGGATCATATCTCAGTCATGCGCTGATAGCGCTTCTAGTCTTAAGTAAACAAAAGAAAATGTTCGAATGTGACGTAAACTTCACGTACAATTTCCAAAATAAGGAAGACATTCGAACGCGTCCGTAAAAATTTCGAACACGTCTGTACGGCGTTTTAAGACGGGTTTTTATATTGTTTTCGATTTCAGATACGTAACAATGTATGCTATTAACAAAGTCATTTCATGCCACTTATAACAGAAACATATAACAGTGATCTTAGTCATATGATTAGAATAAAGAGATATCACTGTCATTATATCAACACAGTCCTTACCCTGCTTTTCTTTAGTGCCTAGCGTCACCACTATACAGCAAATGAGAAATACCACGTCAACAGTGAGGGCGGCGAATATGAAAGCCAGTTTCTATTCAATAAAATAAATAATCAACAATTTGAGCGAGCTGTATTACTACACTTTATCATACAAAATAACTGTACACTACACTACACTACACTACACTACACTACACTACACTACACTACACTACACTACACTACACTACACTACACTACACTTACACTACACGTCATTACACTACACTACACTACACTACACTACACTACACTACACTACACTACACTACACTACACTACACTACACTACACTACACTACACTACACTACACTACACTGCACTACACTGCAATACACTACACTGCACTACTGTAACACTACACTACACTACACTACACTACACGCCACTTCATTACACTACACTACATGTCACGTCATGTCATGCCACGTCACGCCACGTCACGTTACGTCACGTCACATATTAGACCTGCCAGATCGGGTTAAGATCGGACAATGTTTACTTCAGACAAGTGGTATAAATACATCTGAGAACATATTTGTAATCATCTTAATTTGCTTTGCTATCTTTTTTTGAATTTTAAGAAACTATAAAATCTATAAATATTTTCACCAACTATCATTAGTTGGGACATTCACAGTCTGAGCATAGAATATAACATAACATTCTTTTCCCATCCACGCACTAATTCAATTCAAACATTTTCATATCTTAGGCTGCATCTAGAAATATAATTACCATAGGATCTTTATCTTCTGTTGCCGGTGATAAAGTACTTTCAAATCTTGTTGGGGTAAATGTGCTATTTCCATAATCCATTATACTGGTCATATTATCTGGTATGACATCATTTAGGGCAGCACAGGGATTCACGCTATTCTTTTGATTCATACCAATCGTCATGAATTGTGCTTGGATGATAACCCCGAGCATAATTCCTAACATTTCGCACGTCATTCCTGGAGTTTAGATATATATTCCGGTTAGTCCGAACAGCAACTGATGTGGGTTTAATAATGGATGAAATCCGCAAACTATGTAGTGTGTTTAACAAATGATAAATATGATTTTACTTGGCAATATTCTGTATTATTCTCCATGCGAAATTTCAGCGGTTATGTGAATACAAGTGAACACAGAAGATAATTATACAAATAGACTTAATACACATTTAGAATAAACTGTCAGATAATTGGCTTTTTATGTTAACGTACAGAGCCAAAGAGTAATAAAAAGTAATAATATATGTATATATCAATACCAGATGTTCATACGTCATCACGCCTATTTCACTATGGCGGACACTTATAAAAACCGACGTTCCTGTGAATTTTAAATCTAAGTAAAAAAAACTTATTTTATTTCTTAGTAGTGGTACAAATCGTAATTTACAGCATAGTTATTTTTTTTTTATATATTTTTAGACTACTATATTCTAGTAAAATGATTTTTGCCAAGCATACTTTCAACACGTCAAATAGCTTTGGTATAGAGGTAAGATATTTCAGTGACTTGGTAAAAAGAGAATCAAGACATACTCACACTGGATATGTAATGTTATCTTTAATATGATGGTATTACTAATGTCACTCATTATACTATTAAACTGAAATGTACGATATATCTCTAATAAAGGAAAGTGTGAATAGTGCACCATGCAATTTGATCATGTTTGTGTATTTCATTTACGTGCATCAATATATATATATTACGCGTTTACTCGTGAATGATCATCCCCGTGTGCAACTCATTTTGAATTAAATTAGTTTTGCGATTTGTGTGTTTGAGGTTACGGTGAGATTTTTCTGGTGAGAATGCTATGTTTAGGTATAAATCTAGCCAATTTTAATCAGAAATTAATCAACACTTCCCTTTTCCTAATTAGGGTATTTAAATTGCCTCATTCAAATAAATACCTTACACAACCATAATCGTATTTCAGTACTTACGATAGGCTGTAGCCGAATCTCTATCAGCCTGGTCGTTACTTAGGTACATCGTCATTGCAGCGTATGGCAAGTGAAAACACTGAATAGAAAAAAGCACCATGTCAGAGATGATAGGATATGTACGTCAACAATATTGCCAACATGTGTATTAGTAATGATTTGCTGACATAATACTAAATAGCAAACTGCATGCTTTATTGAGTAAAAATTCGCAAAGATTTGAATCGTTCATCCACCACCAGGGAATTGGGGGCTTGGATTGAACCGTCATACGAATAAATAAATTTCTACTACCTGCTTGATCTGCACGAGTTATGACAATATATCCATTCTACGTTAAATTTACTAATGAAAAGTGACATACAGACATGTAGACAAAACAATTAAATCGATTCATAATCCTAATCTATTTGTGATTGGCACATACTCACAGTCAAACATGTCTGCACGGAACACATGAAGAATAGGTAGTACACAAGTTTCCCCACGTCACCGATGTCAGGGACACACCACAACAGGAAATAACTGACCATAGCAAACGGCGTCGATATGACCAGCCTACATCGAGAAAAATATGATAAGATGAATTATGTGCAACTATTTTTATATCAGCAGCAACTAGTGAAATCGTTCATATGTATATATATACAAAAAAATGCTCCTTATATCAAACCACACACACACGTATATATGCATAGGGCGTACGTCTTTTAAAAATTTACGTAAATCATTATCTTTAAATGAAAGAATGAATGAACGAATGGATGAATGAGTCAATCAATCAACCAATCATTTTTTTTCTTTCCCTACCATAAAACATTCTTACTACCACATTTGCAAAAGGCTGCCGAGATCTCGTTGAAAGCAAGAGAGTAACGAGACTTTTTAACCCCCCCCCCCCCTCACATTACCAAATAATATATATTTCCCCCTTATTTGTTTGCTAACTAAACTTTGCACTCTGGTAGGTGAGTGTAGCTCTCTCTCTCTCTCTCCTTGTCTATGAACAACAAGCAAGAATGAATATAATGTTATGTATTGTAATGTAATGTAATGCAGTGCAATGTAATGGACTGGACTGGACTAGACTGGTCCGGACTGAACTGGATTGGACTGGACTGGACTCTGAAATGGAATGGTATGGTATGGTATGGTATGGTATGGTATGGTACGGTATGTAGTAAAGTACAGTTATGAATTACATCATCCAAAAAGAAACTCGAACCATATTACGTCAGAAACAAAATATTTTTGAACTTGCCATGGTTTAATTTTTCCAAATCTTGAATCGAATCTGTCAACTAAAATGCCAACTCCCGGGTCTGTGATCGCATCCCATAAACTTTTGAATAAAACAACAACACTTGCATATCCTGGCCGGAGCTGAAATCAGAAACAATATCATGAACAACTGAGACCATCATTTACTTGTGAACAAATTTACTGCCTTGTCAATTGGGGGTAAGTTGTTGCGTTAATTATAACTATGTAACTTTGTCTTATTCTACCATGATGAGATGAGCCGAATAAGCATTTATAAATATATCCGACGACGGATATTCCTTACCCCGGCGACTTCCAGTAAAAAGATGGATATATAAAATGCAATTATGTTGGCGGTCATCTGAAATGGAATCCCGCCGATAGCATAGCAACACTTCGACCGTCGGGTCAGGGTCTCTTTGTGTGATGTAGTTGTCACATCTGTCTCGGGCAGAAATGTTTTCTGTTTACAAAAATGAACAAATAGAATCGATTATTTCAATTGTGTAACGAAAAAGTGTACTATGATAAATCGTATTAGACAGATCTAATATCTATGTAGTAGTAATCGTTGCGGCTTACGTTTTTTTTTATAATTCATGATTCCTATAAACCGCGCCCTCTATTGACAGGGCGCTTCATCAGTATAGCGTATGCTAATTGACATAACGTCAGCCTCAGAACGACACAGTTTGAGTAATTTAGCGTCATTTTGCTGTCTGACCACTGAGACAAATAAAGTGTTAATATCATCTTGCAATTTGGTAACGTCAATGACATGACGTATTGCCTTATAGCTTTAGATTGTTAGCACAACCCAAGTATAATCCATTGAAATACGCTAAAAATGTCAGTTGAATACAGAATAAAGACAAAGGGGACCAACAGTTATCCCTGGACACCAGAAGTAATATCTATAACTGGATCTGGCCTGTACCTTTTTCACTAAAACTGATTGCGTCCTACCAGTTAAGCAACTAGAAAAGCAGCTAATGTGAGAGTCCAAAATGCTATATTTACTAAGTTTGTGCTTGTGGTTGAAGGGCGGTGGTCGTCGCGCTGCGCATGTGCGACATTTGTGTTGATAAACATTGATTTTCCTACAATCCAATGCGCTCTTCCAATGGAAATCAAAAGTATGAGGTTGAGATTTGACCTGGGCGCGACTTGCGTTAATTACTGCCGGTTGGTTACTCCTTCGATAGCTTCCAATCATCTAAAGAAATACCTAATTAAAGCTTGTTAACGTCTCAGTTTCAAGTTGTATTCGTTGATCTGCGCAACAGCCAAAGTCGCAATCTTTGTTTATATAACTCGCGCATACGAGGGGCGACGAGTACCGTCTTTTAGACTTTTCAAATGCTTTTGAAAATTTTGTATAGACCATATCCACCAGATTTGACTCATTACATTCTGACTAACACGCAGAAGTAAGACAGAATGGCCGGTCTCACATGTTCTACAAGGAAGAAAAACGCATATAGGCACGCCTATAAATTAACTTACAATTCATATTGAGGACATTGAACGATAGATTCTAGATTTCTACCTTTCACTCCTTTATGTAAATGGGAACTACTGAAGCCTTTTTTTCTATTAGATGAGAAGACTCTGTTCATATTATTTCAGAAACTATTACTTAGACAGTTCATTTAAATAAAGTGATCCACTAAATCAAAACAGAACTATTTTAGAACTTATTGGTCAGCCAAAGAGAAAAGTATAGTAGGTGATAATCATAGATAAAAACACAAGGGTCGATGGTCATCATGCTTTGTAGATAACGATTTATTTACAGTCCTGGTCAAATTCTGCAAGGGTTGTTGTCCACAAAATACATTTATGATGTATTGTGAAACATCAACAAGCGAGATGTATATTTGAAACCCCAAGATTGAAATTTCAGTCAGGGTATCACATGAAACTTAGAATTAATAATACAGTATTTCATGGGGATAATGGCAGAAGTAACTGACAATTAGAAGTGTGTTTCCGCTGATGTGTGTGTTAATTCGCTTTAGGCCAACGAGCAATTTCAAAGCAAAATCGTTTTATTTACTTGATATTACAATTAATGATTTAGGAAAATACACCATTGTATGTCATGGTGGTTTAGATATGTGTCGGGTACACTCTCGATGTATATATATATATATATATATATATATATATATATATATATATATATATATATATATATATATAT